GGCCAAATCCTTAGTCTTTACCCAAAGAGGCTTTCTCTGAGAAATATCCCTTACTGACAAGAATAGTCCAGTGCCATTAATTTCAAAAGGGTAACCTCAAGTTCATGGGTAAGAAATATTTAATTCTGGAGGATTCACCTCAATTTTCTGCTTTGCTTATGCTAAAAAAATACATTCTGATTACATAGTGCCCATACAGATATCAACTTGATATGTTATTTGTCTTGTTCTTGCTTAAAAACTGTAGTATAGTGTTGCTATGCAGCATTTAATAGGAATTGTGTATTAATTCAGGGGTGACTGAAGTTTTGGCAGTAATTTTGGCAGTAATATAAAAATGACTAAATGATTCATAGATTTCATAGACATCAGGGCTGGAAGGGACCTCGGAAGATCATCGAGTCCAGCCCCCTGCCCAAAGGGCAGGAAGTCAGCTGGGGTCATAGGATCCCAGCAAGATAAGCATCCAGTTTGCTTTTGAAGATGTTCAATGTAGGCGCTTGAACCACCTCCGGTGGCAGGCTGTTCCAGACCTTGGGGGCTCGGACAGTAAAGAAATTCTTCCTTATGTCCAGCCTGAAATGGTCTTGTAGTAGTTTATGACCGTTCAACCTAGTCGTCATCCCTTGGGGCGCTCTGGTGAACAAACGTTCCCGCTGATACTGGTGGTCACCCCTGATAAACTTATAGGTGGCCAGATGTTAGGGGCTAGATCATCAGGTCCAGCCCCTCTGCACTTGGGCAGGAAAGGCTGCTGGGGTCAGATGACCCTAGCAAGTGGTCTGATCCTGTCTTGTGCACAATTGTGCAGGGATGGGAGGGGGTGGTTTAAGTATTTCTGAATCTGTGGAAGATATTAGATGCCAGTCTGTCTGTGACAGATTTGTGTGTGTTCCAACTAACCAGATTCTGAGAGTGAAGGTGATCTAGTCTTAAATAAAACATCCCAGCTCTTGCATGCTTCCCTGAGTGCAGCCCATGCTTCCCTGCAGCTCTTTGCCAGGTTTCATCCCTGGCTGCCTGACTCAATTGCTGATGTTGTTAAGTCCAATGGTGATTGGTGCCAGGCATGAGGGGGGTTTTGTTAGAACTCATAGTATTAATTCTCAGTGACACTTCTGAGGCAAATTCCATAGTTTATTGTATAATGATAATAATGCATAGATAGGGTTTTCCGCTTCTTACTCCTTTAAAATAAAAAGGCAAGTTCATTGACAGAGGGATATAATGCATCCAGCATTTCAGACAGGAAGACACTGATATATTATTATATCATATGTTTTGATTGTAGGCTTTCTTCTGCAAAATCTTATAACTTACTGTATTAACTAATAACTATTCTAAAACATAATTTTAATGCTGCTTCATTCATGAGTCCGTAAACAATGTTAAAATGAGAAAATAAAAATAAATCAATGTAAGGAAAATAGCCACACCAGACCAACTATTAAAGAGAAGGGAATGAACTCTTCAGCAGAATTCTTTTATTCATTTGACAATTCTCATATATCTTATTAATGAGCTTATTATTATACAAGTCATTATACAGATACATGACATAAACATGAATACTTTTGAGACTCAATAAATAAAGCATCTTCTCAAAACTAATTAAAAGAGCTTGCATTTAATTTCTAACCGTATATACTAAATTTAATGTGATTTGGAAATTTAATGTGATTTGGATAATAGAAGGCAAATAGCAGCTGGATGTTTTAGTCTGTGATCAGGGGCCAAACTGGCTAGAACAATCCAACTGAAGCCAGGGAGATTATTTCACTAAGGTTGGGTCCTAAGTGTGAAAAGAATAGGCATGTATTAGAGGAAAGGGTGGATTAAATCAGGATTCATGGGTCCAAGGCATGAATGAGAGAAGGTCTTCTACGGGGAATCCCCTGCTAGAGGGAACTGGGTCCACCTTGAGGGCAAGGAAATAGAAAATAGTGCTGGCAGGGCAGATGGCTAGCAATTTCATGAAAAAATTGCAGAGAAAGGGGTAAGGACAGCTTTGGTTTAGTGGATATCTGTTATTTGGATCCAGACCTCACTTACTATTCCAGGGAAAATTTAAAATACCGAAGAGATTAAATAGCATAAGTCAAATAAAAATAATGTAGACACTTAAATGTAGATTTTCAAAGGTGCTTAAGGACATGCCTTAACATTTACAAAAGTACATAAGCAGGTTAACAAGGTTCCTTGGGTGAATTTGATATTTTTTATTAGACCAACCCAAATAGTTGGAGAATAGTTATTAAGCAAGCTTTCGAGTTCAAAAACCCTTCGTCAGGCTAAGGAAGTGTCAGCAGTTGGTGTGTGCTCTTCCTGGATGGAATGAAAAGTAAAGAAGCCAGGGGCTGGGCTGGGGAGTCAGTTGCCCCGCAGATTATAATGTATCAGGTAATAATGTATGCAGGTTAGGCACCTAACTCCCAATAATCAGGTTAGATGCCTAACTTCCTTTTGAGGCACAGGAAGTTAGATAACTAATCTGTTTAGATGCTTTCAGAAATCCCACTAGGTACTTACCAGCATCTTTAGGCACCTAAATACCTTGTAAATCTGGCCTTTAGAAGCCTACATTTTATTGAGTCTTGAAGAGATTTAGGCTGCTGTGTGTCCATGGGCTCTTAGATACTTGTAGCATTCAAGTTTTGCAGAATCAGAATGGAAGAAATATATCTACTGCGAGATGGATGTCTAGGAGTGGGAAAGGAACAGGATTGTCTTCCTTTGGGGAAAAAGTTTTCAGGGTACATATTTCTGCATTCAAGCTGGTACATCCCAAAGTAAAACCAATTCAGATTGCCATAGTTTGACTCAGACCAGATGAAGATTGCTAAATAGTGTTCAAATTGGAGAACAGAATGTAGATTGGGGACAGGGATTTACCTGCCTTTATCAGAATTCATGCCCCTTTTATGACCAACTCTCTGCCAGGGATAACATTCATCCGTTGGTCCTGAAGAAAATTTAATTGGGCATAGATGTTCCACTAAATGTAAGGCATTTAAAAATCTTAGATGGCAAGTGGCCCTAAACTCTTACTTTTTGAACCCACAGCTCTTGGGCTTTATCTCTCTTCTGCAAACTACTCCACTGTCCCTAGTTATTGTTGTTATTTATTATTAGCTGAGATAAAGGTACTTGTCAGTGAAGAATGAATGTGGGAGGGGATGCAGACAGGTATAAGGAAGGAGCTGGGAAAAGGAATAATGAATTGAGAATAAAGCTGCTAGAAAAATAATAATCTAAATGTTTTCTTGAAGAAAAAATGATGTTTTTGTTGAAACTGAAACATTACCTAAAAAGCATATTGATTTTCAGGAAAATCCCTGATGAAGAAATATTTTGAAACCAAAAAGTTTTTGTTTAGGAGTATTTTCACCTAAAACTTCACATTTCATTTTGATTGATAGTGTGATGAAAGATATCTTTTTCATTTTTGGATTATTCCTGCATGATTTCTGGATTTCATGTACCACATTACATAATAGCTGAAATAGTGCAAGGTGTTACTTGGTACTGATGCAAAACATCTTTTTATAGAGAAAAGTGTCTCCTGTTTGTTGTAACAAAACAACAGATTGTGCATTACAGCTACTGTCCTGCAGCGCAATAATATAGAAATAATACAAACATCAAAAACCAAAGCCAAGAGTTGACATTGTAAAATGAAACTTTCTCCCCCAAATTTTCTAGAGTTGTTGGGGGGTTTTTTTCTGCCAAGAATATTGCGCAGAAAGTCATGAAACAAATATTTGGGTTTGCCCTGAATCCCGATGAAAATAACGTTCAAAATACCAACATGTCCTGTACCAGGGACATGCCAGGCTTTCCTGGAAGGACGGGGCTAGGAAAGACAAGCAAGTCTGAGGGCAGGGAAGGGGTGACAGGATGGTTCCCAGCCAGGGAGCGTGACAAGGATGGAGATGGCCAAAGGCAGCGCGGGGGCACATGGACATGGGGGCGAAAACAAGGGCTGGAGCTAGTAAATCTCCAGTCGCCCGAGGAGGAGCGAGGCGTCGGGCCCGGGGTGAGGGGAACGGGAAGGGGTGGGCGCGTGGGGCCCGGCGGCTGTCGCTGACGGGGCCTCCCGCTCGCGCCGGCG